ATCTTCAGGGTCTGGTGCCAGAAGCACATTGTAAAAGAAGTTTTATGTGAACAACTTCAGCTTGGAAAGACCAAGCCTTTTTTTTTATATTTTATTTATTCCTGTCTCTTCTTAGCCAGCATTCTCCTTACTTGCTGATTTATTTTCTCTTTCTTCCTTAAGAGTAACACAGGGTGCAAGTAACATTGTGTCTGCACAGATCAACCTGCCTACTTTCAGAGTAGGCACCTTGGCCCTGTGAGCTGTAAGAGGATGAGAGCCAGATCTCTGGGGAGAGCACAGAGTTAATGCTCAGAAAAGCAGGGGCATGAGCCGGGCGGTTCTCTGTGAGTTCGAGACCAGCCTGGTCTACAAGAGCTAGTTCCAGGACAGGCTCCAAAACCACAGAGAAACCCTGTCTCGAAAAACCAAAAAAAAAAAAAAAAAAAAAGAAAAGAAAAGAAAAGAAAAGCAGGGGCAGAATCCCAAGAAAATTAAGAGTGTGGGAAAATGGTCTTATGGGTCCAGGGCAATATCCCCCAAAAGGAGGGTGCCACTGGGATATCCCCCAAAAGGAGGGTGCCACTGGGGGATCCTATGGCAGCTTAAAGAGCACAAGTGGCTGCTTCTTTTTTTTGGGGGGGGGTTCACCAGGAGATTCTCCCCTTCCTCCCACCTCACCTACGGCCATACTCCCAGACCATGTGAGACTAAGCTTTGCAAGTTATTGAGCTTGCCTGCATGCCTGTTGCTTCCACAGGACAGCAATGGGCTTGCTGATTGCATTCTGAGTACAAGGCTCATCAAGTCCTGCTCTCTTTGGCCACCACAGTCCTCGTGCTGGGTTTATTACATGAGCAGTTGAGTTAATTGCTTAAAACCTTCAGGGAAAAGGCCGGAGAGCCAGCTCTGAAGTTATGTGCACTTGTTCCTCTTCCAGAGGACCAGAGTTTGGTTCCCAGAATCCATGTCCACCAGTTTACAATCCCCTATGACTCTAGCTCCAGGGGATCAGATACCCTCTTCTTGTCTCCATGGGCACCTGCACACATGTGGCATACACACATATAGACACACACAAAAATAATAATAATATAAAGCATTTTTTCTAGAGCTTTGGGCATAGAGCAGCTTGGTCCCATCCCTTACTCCCTAGGTGACCTTCTACAGATCAATTTTCAGGTCACCAAGGTTCTCTGAGGGCCCAGCTCCTCACCACTCTGAGGAAAATCAGCAGCCCCCCTTTTTAATATGTTAGGCAGTTTGTGAGCTAGTGTGTGTAACAATGCTACAAGGAGCACCCCATCGATATTAGCTGTAGAAACCTCAAAGATGTGTGTATGTGTGTGTGTGTGTCTGTGTGTGTGTTTATTCACCATAAAACAGGGGAATGGCAGGGAAATGTACATTAGTTCATCTTTTCTGCTGGCACGGGCATATTAATACCTACTGTGTGCCCAGCTCTGTGGGGCCTGATCTTTGCCCCCATAATTGCCAGCTATTTAGTTTTTTTAATTGTTTATTCGTTTTTATTTAGCATCAGAGTGTACATGTGTGCAGGCCAAAAGACAGATTTCAGAAGTCGGTCCCCTCCTTCCATCTTGCTAAGACAGAAAGTAGTCTCTTTCTTTCTACACATTTGGGGCTAGCTGGTCCACAGGCTTCAGGGAAATCCTTCTCTCTTCACCAGCCATCTCACTATAAAAGTTCTGGGATCACAGATGAATGCCACCATGTCTGTCTTTCATACCTGGACTCCACGGGTTGAGCTCAGGTCATCAGATTTATTGACTAAGACATTGCACCAGCTCCAAGGTTGCCTCCCCAGACACTATCCAGAATGTCTTTCAGCTAGTTTCTTCCATCAAGAAATTCTCCCTTCGTGCACAATAGTGGGAAAGTTACTAAATCCAGCAGACATGAGTTCTAATCCCTGTTCTGAGATAACTAGGTGTTCTAGTTATCTCATTGAACTATAAAATACAAATGATATGCCTGTTGTCATGGGGAAAATGAGGTAGTCTGAGTAGCAGAGAGCCCATTCGATGCTGGTCCCAAGTGTCCTCAGGAAGGTGGCTCTCAGGGAACAGGCTGAACAGCTGGGGGCTATAGCATAAAGTTGTTCCCTCAGGGATAAGAATGCCACTTCAGAGGAGCAGACTGAGCCTCAGATAGATTCCTCATGCCACGGGAATGATGACAAGCAAAGGCCTGGCACAAAGGCTCAGTGTGTTTTGCTCCAAGCCCACATCTGCCCCAAGCATCTCCTGCTAAAATCTCTTAGTGAGTGAGGCCTTCAGGACTATTCTTGGCCAGCGTACTCAGTGGGCATCAGCAGCCAATCAGCCTTTGCCTCTTCACACCCACGCTGACTGACACACACACTGCTGAGCTCAGGACACTGCATGCCACCAACTCAGGACTCAGTCCCCTGCCCCCTTCTTTCCACTGGGTCCATTTTTACTCTTCCATCATGGTTTCATGATTTCTAGAGCCTTGGCACTCCTTGGAGAAGTTGGCCCCACCTTGTACACTTCCACGTTCTTTCTCTCTACTCCTGAAGTCAGCTATGCCTGTTTGCTCACACACACACACACACACACACACACACACACACACACACACTTCAGCACCTAGCCTGGTACCCAGTATAAAGTAAAAGCTAGAGTTGTGCTGAGTCAACAAACAGGAAGAATGAGTGAATGATGTCACTGTAGCGTGATCACCTTGTTGCAATTATCATCCTCGTATCAGCACTGGGTATGTGTTAGGGAAGAGAGGGACTCTATGCAATGCTGCTTCCACTAAACCCATCACAGAGCACAGCACACTGTAGATGTTCAGTAACAATGAGTGGATTCATTAGCCAAAGAGCTGGTGTGCGTTTCTGTCTGAACTGTCTATCTTCAGGGGCAGAAGTCCCCTACCAGTCATCTGTGTGTCCCTGTATGTCACGGAGGGTGGATCAGTGGGAGTCCGAACTAACTTCTGGCCTGTAGTCTTACACCCCAGATAATCCTGGAGTAACCTGGGGGCAGAGGGATGGCAGTGTGCTTCTTGCTTGGGGTAGCGGGAAGCCTTATCACCACTAGATGGCACCAAGAGCCAAGACTTGGCCCAAAGTTAGTTTTGCCTGCCCAGGCACTGCCCAGTGGTTCTCATTAAGTCTGATAAGGCCTTCCTCTCTTCCCTACCCAGATGCCTTAAATCAAGGTTACAGTTGCTACAGGTCCACTATAGTTGCCTTGCTGGCCTGCGGTGTTTTCTTTCCTTTGCATCAGTCTGTATGCACTTGTGATGTGCTGCCGCATTCAGAACCTGCCGGTCGGACTAACACAACAGCTTATCTCTGGTCCTCTTTAGCAAGAACTGTTCCTGTCCCAAGTTCCAGACAGCTTCTCTGTACTCTTCACAGCAACCATAGTCTTACATTATGATCCATAACTCCTGCATGAACTTCGAAAAAGTAAAGGGCCTACTAAATCTTCAAGTGTCTAAAACATAGAAACATGCTACATGCTAGCTCACCACACATGTGATGAATGGCTGAAAGAGCCCGGAAATAACTGCAGAGTGCAGCTGATTCTCTTCCACCCTTCAGGCTTCAGTCTCTTTCAGTGCACGTCAAGGAACCCAGATGGGTCCTGGGTGGGCAGGTGACTGGATTACAGAGGTGCGAGCATCTTATGCTTGGACACCAGGGTCCTTCCACCTGCCTGTTATCCAGGACAAGATGCACTGGGATCTTAGTTTTCCTTCCCAGATGTCCTGTTCTTCTGTTTGCCACATAAACTTGTAGGCTGGGGGATAGGATGGTATGCAGCTGCTGAAAAGAAGTTCAGGCAGAAGAAATAAAGAGTTTGTTTTGAATGAAAAAAGACCTTTTTTCCATCTGTTTTGCTTGAGTCACAGAGCCCAGCTGTCTCTCCTAAAAGCCAGGGAAGACAGAGCTGCAATGAGCTGAGGCTGTAAATCTGTGGCTGCATCTAGGTGGCCCTGGTTACTAAGGCTTATGTGTCAACTACAGTGAAGAGCTAGTCTTCTGAACTTGAACTCAGTGAGGAGCCATGTTGGGACTGGAGAGATATCTCAGTCAGTAAAGAGCTCAGCAAACACTAGGAAGATCTGATTTCCATCCGTAGAACCCCTGTGAAAAGCCAGGTGTGGTGTAATCCCAGCACTGGGGGAGATGGGGACAGGCAGAACCCTAAGGTTGATTTCAGCCACCCTAGCTAAATCAGCAAGTGCCAGAACAATGAGATACCCTATCTCAAAAGTCAAGGTGTGCAACACCCGAAGAAAACAGCTGAAGAAGTTCCTCTGGCACACACACACACACACACACACACACATCAACATATATGCAGATATACTACACGCAAAGGCATGTGCGTACCCATGCATGCACACACACCAACACACATGCACACACACATACATCAACATACATGCAGGCCTACTACACACAAAGGCATGTGCACACCCATGCATGCAGTCATGCATGAACACCGACACATACACACAAACACACACACACAGACGGACAGACGGACACACCCAGGAGCACCATCTGACTCTACCAGGCTCAGAAGATTCAGTGGAGGAAGAACTTGGGGCTACAGCAGGAAGCAATAGCTGTGAGTTGTGGGCAACTCCCCTGCAGCAAAACTTATCAGCATGTCTGCACTGCCTAAATCCTGGGCTCCCTCTCTTGGAACTCAGTGCCACCACACATACTGCTGGGGCTATTGAGACACCAAGGAAAGAAGGAATCACCGTGGGCTGAGGTGGCTACCAGGCCCCAGCACTTTACAGGCTGGGAATTGTTTTGGCCTCTCTAAACTTTGAACCCCTTAATCTTACTGGTTTTATTGAAAGAAATAGATGTTTGTCTATTGATCGTATGGAAGCCAATTGTGAAAGAACCTAAACATAATGAAGATGGAAAGTCAACTGCAGTCATTTGGGCTTGGGAACCTTGGACTCAACAACCTCTTTCCATCTCTCCCCTTCCTCCACAGGTCATCTCTCCGACCCCCACAACCATGGCTTTCACTCCAGTGCCACCGGAGGTCACAACTACACGCCCCGAGTTCTGCAAGTGGCCCTGTGAATGCCCACAGTCTCCACCTCGCTGCCCACTGGGTGTCAGCCTTATCACAGATGGCTGTGAATGCTGTAAGATATGTGCCCAGCAGCTCGGGGACAACTGCACAGAGGCTGCCATCTGTGACCCGCACCGGGGCCTCTACTGCGATTACAGTGGGGACTGGCCGAGGTACGCAATAGGAGTGTGTGCACGTAAGTGAGAGCCTCCATACCTTCCGACTGCCCCTCGCCCCAGCTCTGGCCCACGAGCACCCACAGCCGCTCATCTGGTCAGGTTTAGCTTGGTAGGAAGAATGCTCCAACCCTGTCCACATTTAGAAGGCACAGGAGGATCATCCTGGGGAGAGACCAATGACGGTGTTATTCTTCTCCCTAAGATCTCATTGTGTCTTGCTCTCTTCCGTATTAGAAGCATTTACCCCAAGGAAGGGAGTTCTGCCAAGAAATACTCAAGCCTGGTTCTGTTCCCTCTGTAGATAGGACTCTGCAATAGATGCCCAATGGCCTCTCTGATGACACTGAATCACTGCCATACTACAGATATTTTAATGATCCTTTAAATTAAAATGCTTAGTAATATGCTTTAAAAAGCCAGTGGCCATGGAATAATGAAAGCTGGCAGCCTGCAGTCCCTGTTTCCTGGGAGCCATGCTTTCCCAGTTACTACCATTACTTTTAAGTTGCTAGCCCTTTATTTTAATAGCCATTGCGACATAGCAATGTCTTCTGCTAGATCTTAATTGGTTTGCTATACTAATTTTGGATCATTTATTAATATCCCTACATGATAGTTAATGGCTAAGCTCCTGATGCTGTCAGATACCTTTGTTATCTTCCAAATGTCCTTCTTCTGATTTTTGGCTATATAATCATGACTATTTATTACGCTCTCTGTTCCCTGGAACCTAAGCAGTGTACGTGTTTGACTTCCCCCTTCTCATAGTGCCTTTTGCTCTTCCTACTGTTCCTACCTGCCTTTGTTTTTCTTTGATTTTGGTCTGTATAGTATCCTTGTGTTTGAAGGAAGACTGTTGTTTATTTTTCATGTGGTCCATTCTGTGTCCCCTGTTCCTGCTACTGTTCATAGAGACAGTGTTTCTGAGACTTTATCACCTCCTGCTTCACTCTGGACTCCAGTGTTCTTAGTCTGAATTCTCTGAGCATCGCTTGCCAAATGGCGCAGACCAGCATGATGATGAACAATAGCCTGAGACAGGAAAGGTTCCTCAAAGTCTCATTCATACAGGAAGCCCTCTTCCAGAAGTATTGAATCAGGACTCCTCCATATCATCTACCCCTTCCCCACTCTCTGTTCATAGAAAGTGCAGCCCCTCATTCTCCCCAACACTTTAGATTCCTGTGCGGGTTGTTGATGAGGACTGTGCACATGACCCACGTCAGTAAACCCTACCTGAGCCTCCTGGTTCCTTTGTGGCTCTTTTCTTTTTTTTTTCCTCTTTTATTTTTTAATTTTATTTAGAAAGGCCAACCATATTCATTTGTCCATTTTTCTTCAGCTTTAAGAAAAATAGTTTTAAAAACATAAAGTTGTAAATACACTCAAGAGTGACTGCTATTAAACAGTTCTGAACAGGCAGAAAATGTACTTTTCTTTTACAGAAAATGTTAAATCTGTAATAGCAGCATAATTTATATATAGAAAAAGCTGGCTTTGAAAATCCAGACATTTGTATACATAAAACACATCCTTTCCTTTTCATACACAGAGCAGCACTGTGCACTCTGGAAGGTTTCTTTCCACTATGGTACTCCACAGTAGGCAGCTCTCTCTGGTCCCCATCAGCAGCCCAGCAGTCAGTCCAGTACCAGGGCAGAAAGGGCATTCAGGTCCTTCATGTATGGATGAACTACCAGGGTCTGGTTGATCTTCAGCTTTTGCTCAGAGTCAGGGAAGATCTTCAGCAGTGCCTCCCTCAGGTCACTGGTATCTGTGGAAGATCTCTGTGCTGGCATGAGAGAGTTCTGCTGTATTCTGGGAACAGTGGCCAGGGGTGTGAAGTGGGGCTGCTGAGGAACTTTGTGGCTTTTTCTTTCTTGTCTTGTCTCCATTCATTTACATTTACACCTTTGGCTTCTCAATGCCTTGCTTCCCCCCATCTCTCCTGTGTTTCTCCACTTTCTGGAGATTTTTTTGTTAATGCCACTAAACTGTTCAAAGAAGACTTGTGCCATAGCCTGCACATAATCACCCAATGCATTAATTAAAGATGTGTTTCCTGCACACCAGCCCAGGCCGGTTTAAATAAACCCTTGAGTTCCAGGTGATCTCTGCTTGCTAGTTCTCAAGACCAGCATTAAATAGTCATCTACCTTTTTTCATAACGCAGGGAGACTTAGCAAGTCTCCCTGTGCTGGAATCACCCATGAGACCAGGCCTATGGGAGTAGCTAATAATTTCTCTCCTGGCTAGCAGCTATCCCTAAGGTCATTTGAAAGGTAATTCAGTTCACCGTGATTATACTAATCTCCAAAGGCATAATGGGATCTTGCCCCCTTATAGACATTGTCTCATGGACCCAGAGATTGTCTTCCCTGCTTACCACCCACCCCCACCCCTCCCTCACAGCTTCCAATTGCAGGTCCCACTCCCAACCACGACAGTTCCTTAGCTCCCTGCCACCAGGAACCTTGATACAGTTCCTTTCCATTAATTTAAGAAAAAATACACAAACGCCTTGATTTAAGGAAGGATTCAAAAGGTTTATCCATTTCCTATCACTTCCCTGGCCATGTGGGTTTACAGACATTGAAATAAATACAGTTAACCAGGCGTTACGGGGACTCGAAATGCTCCAGCCCATTGTTAAGTGTGTAAAGGAAGCCTCCACAGAGCCCTGTCATGTCCAACTCCAGCTCTTAACTCTTTCATCCCAACATTCTCACCCATGAGCCTCAGCACAAGCACTCTCACAGACACACATCAGGTGCATGCTATACACACACACACACACACACACACGTATGCATGTGCGCACGCACACACACATATGCACACATCTTGCATCTGTAAACACATATACATACAATTCACTGGTGTCCCACAAGCATTTCCCCATAAATATGACGTAATGTCAGAATTCATGAGGCCCAAATACAAGAAGCAAGACAGAGCGTGAAAGCACAGAGTGGCAGCGGGGAAAAGAGCGCCTCCCGAGCAGACAGTCCGTCAGCACATGGTCATGCAAATCTCCAGGACAGGCTAAAGCCATCTGGAGATTTGCAGAGAATTAAGGCCAAGACAAGGCAAGTGCAAAACAAGTCATCAAAATGCTGCCCCACACAGGACCCAGGGAGCTCAGAAGAGACGTCGGCATGCCAGCAAACGCCAGCTTTGGCTGTTAGTGGTCACCCTCCTGGGCCCTGAGGCCAGGCAGAACAGTGACTCTAGTCTTGCCTAGACTGCTCAGCTGTCAGAAGGAATCTAGGCTTGTGTGTTATTGGTAAACCCTAGAACTACATTCAAGGAAACTTTTAAAACTGTGTCTAGGCCAATATAAACACGGTGATGGGCACAGTGCCCTTGACTTCAGAAAGCTCCACTATTTTGGTTGCCCAAACACTGCCCTAATGCAGCTGGGACAGGCACCGGGGCAAAAAGGTCGTTGGAAGAGAACATGGTGTTTACAGGCGGATGGACTTGAGGTTTCGATCCCTGTTCTGCCTCTTGCCGCTCCCCACCTTGGGCCACACACCTGAGGAACTTCGATACATCAAGGGAAGGAGAAATGGGAGAATGGTGTCTGTGGCTTTCACTTGCACTCTGAATAACAGCTCAGCCCTACCCACTCTTATCCTTGGTAAGGGGAAGGTCTTACTACAGGACCACCCAACCTTGCATTGCTAACGGAGGGAAGGGAAAACTCAGCATGGTCCTTGGGGCTAGACAACCTGAGCTGGAATCCCAATGCTACCACTAAGCACTCCTGCAATGTTAGACAAGCTCCTGAATCTCTTAAACTTCAGTGTCCTTAGAAAGGACAATGTGAGGAAGAGTGAGATCCATGGGGACAGGCTGTCACAAGCTTAGATACAGTAGGTGTCTAGTGGAGGTTAGGGGCCCTGACACATGTGTGCCTCTATCCACCCATCAGCCCACTAACTTAAGACAATATGCAGGTGAGGTTGTAGGACTCCAACCTTGTTTCTACTCTCACAAGGCCAGAGATGATGAGGGCTTGAGAGTCCCAGGAAAGGAGCATGGTAGCTTCACTGTTGCAAGTCCTTTAGCTATGAGAAGGCTGGCCATATTTCACCTGAACATTTAAGAGAGGTTAGAAAGGAGCTGGCTGTTTCCCCTCACCCAAAACCAGTTCCCTGGGATAAGGTACAAAGGCTGTATGAGCCCGAAGAGGGGGTCACACCTCTGCTGTGGATAATTCGTGATCATCATATACCCTGATCTCCCTTTGCTCTATGTGGGACAGGTCTATCAGCTGTCCGTGTGTCCCCGTTAGCAAGTCTACAGATATAGCATGTTCTGAGCACAATAGTACTTGACTTTCACTGCACACTGGACACTCCTGGAAGAATATCGAGTCTGAGGAAGGCAATGTTCCAGCATCTCAGGCTGTCTCATGTTATGTGGCCTGGATATCAGCATTTTCAAAGGTTTTTCTGTGAGTTCCTTTGAGCTGATAGGATTGCTTTGCAGGCGACTCCAGAGCCCCGAACTGACATCTTTACACATAGGAACAGAGCATAAGCTTTAGTCTCCTTCCCACCTATACACACACAGATGAGAGACTCACACACACACACACACACACACACACACACACACACACACACATATGCATACACACACATATGCATACACACACACAGAGATGAGAAACTCACACACACACACACAGACGAGAGACTCACACACATACACACACATAAGCATACACACAGAAAGAGGAGAGACTCACACACATACACACACACAGACAAGAGACTCATACACATACACACACATACGCATACACACACACAGATGAGAGACTTACACACATACACACAGAGAGACAAGAGACTCACACACAAACACACACAGATGAGAGACTCACACACATACACACATGCACATATATAAACTAGCATGCACAAAGATGTACACACACAAGCATACATTTGACTACACACTCACATGTACACATATGTACAAACACATCTTTCGGGAGTTTGAGGATGTGGTGTGGTGATTGAGGCTCAGGGGCCTCCTTGCATCCTGTTCCTCCTCCTGGGCCTGAACTTCTTTCTTCCTCTCCCCTCATCTCCCTCCTTTTCTGATGTCAGGTAGAAGGAAGAAGGCTGTGGGTTTAGCGTCTCCTCTCTGTCATTCACTTGCTCCATCACTCACGTCATTTGAGCACATGAATCCCTCCTTCTCCCCGGCCTCTCCTGTCCCTAATGCAGTAGACAAAGCTCTCCTGATGAAGTCGTTATCGGGAGACCTGAGTGAGATCATGGGCCAGGAGCTGGTGTCGATGCATGCCAGAACCTGCTTCCTGGATGTTCGGGAAAAGACAACAACAGCGAGAGGCACACACCCTGAAACTGTGCCTTATGGGCCAGCTTGCACTCTGATGTCACCCTACTGAGACTATTTTCGCTATACATAACAGTGGAAGGGACAATGGGTTTCCTTACAAAACAAAATACGCTGTGAAACCCAAAACAGAGACCCTGGTTCTGACAGTGTTTGCACCTACCAGATGTCCTGATCCTTATGATCAGCCACCACCCCCACCAATCCAGCAGACAGGACAGAGTTCCTGCAAACAGCAGACTCCTAACTGCCTCTTTCCTGTGGGCATTCCTGATGTCCCAGGACCCTCTATGGATTGTTCCAGATGCTATTCCCAAGGAGCACACAGCACCAAGGGTAGAATCTGGCTCAGCATTCCCTAAGCCATGCAAGGCCGGTTTCTATAGCCAACTCCACCAGGCATATCTCATGTCTAATGGAAGACTCTGGAGCCAGCCTGCCCCAGTCCCAACTCCTCCGGAGAGGAGGGAAGAGCTCACTTTCTGGGCCTCAGTACAGAGCATTGGAAGTCTTCTTTGACCCCTGGGGGGGGGGGGCTTTGCAGCTCTTCTTGAAAATGTGTCTGGATGGTGAGCTTTTTCTTTGCTTTGGTCTGAGAAGCCACCATCCTCTGCCTGTGTCATCGAGGTGCCATCCAGGGCTGTCTTGTGGCTTTCTCCAGCCAATTGTCTACTCATTACCACAAGATTTTCTCATTCATTCAATTACTTATTGAACATCTACTATGCTCCAGGAAGAGATCTAGACACTAACAGTTCTGGATCTTCCGTTGAGACAGGAGGAAGATGGATCTAGTCTCATTGCCTCCAACACACCCTTTTCTTTTCTTTCTCCTTTCCTGCTTCCCTCCCCCAAGGCCTGTTACCTCATCAGTTAGCTATAGTAGATGCCCTCCCTACCTGGAAGATTGACATCAATGCCTGGTCTGCCTCTCTCTCATTCTGGTCTCTGTGGAAAACAAACAGAAAGCCCTCTCAGGTCCGTGAATCTTCCTGGTTCACTTGTCTCAGTCTACAGCCATGTTTATACCCATTACTCCCTCCTTGTTACATTATCCCTCAACACTGATTATGAGTGGCTGTCATTATCAACAGACACTCCAGATGACCATTGGTCCCTCTTCCCACCTCATAAATCTTCAAAGACCATCCCATCCTCATTCTGTTCAGGATTGGGTCCTCAGCTCCTGCCATACTCCACAGTCAGTACTGATGAAGGCAGTCCAGTTTGCATCTAGGTTCTGGTTTCATGTGTATGCCTTCCTCCCTTGGACGGGCATTCATCAGTACTAGGCCTAGTGCTGGGGACAGTGTAGGGCAAAAAAAAAAAAAAAAAAAATGCCTGAGCTCTTGCACTATGGAGCTGGGCTCTCCCATCCGACATCCAACAGACTCTTCAGTAGCTAAGACCTTCACTGTACCCTTTCTCCTTGCTGGGTACCGTCTCTTCACGTGTCCCCATCTTTGCCCTTGGGGTGCAGCCACCTGATATGTGGGACAGCCCCTCCTTCCTCACACGAGTGATTTCTTGGCACGGCATCCTAGGCAGAGGGAAAATTGCACAGAAACATCTTGGCACAGACCCCACCCCTCCTGGCCTGACATGTCCACCACCTGTGTTTGCAGAGGTGGTCGGTGTGGGCTGCGTCCTGGATGGCGTGCGTTACACCAATGGCGAGTCCTTCCAGCCCAACTGCAGGTATAACTGCACGTGCATTGACGGCACAGTGGGCTGCACACCGCTGTGCCTCAGCCCCAGGCCCCCGCGCCTCTGGTGCCGACAACCCCGGCATGTGAGGGTGCCTGGCCAGTGCTGTGAGCAATGGGTATGTGACGATGACGCAAGGAGACCACGCCAGACAGCACTTCTGGATACCAGAGCCTTTGGTAAGTGTGGGCAAGGACGAGCAGAGTCTCTGCATACCACAGAACCCCCTAGAGTCCTGGTTTTCTTTTAATAAATCAAGCTTCCAGGCCATTACCCACTCCACAACTCACCAGTTATAGAGCCTTCGGGATGTGCTGTCTGGGATCCAAATTCTCCATCTGTAAAATGCAAATGACATCATCTTTACTGCCTGTCTTGCAAGCTGCTCCCAGCATAAAAGCCTGGTGTGGTGTGTGCTGTCCTCTCTCATCTTACTAAAGTAGCCTAGAGAGTGGTTAGGGATCTAGAAAAAGGATCAGGTGGCAGGGCATAGGAGGGGGTAGATGGACCTTCCAGGTAACTCAGGGACTGCATTGCTATCATGAGGTGAGCAGATGAAGTTTTTCTAGGTAAGCCTGAGAAAAGGAAGCCCTAGGTGGGAAGACAGGAGCATGATTTTTTTTTTCACCATTGCCTAACAGAGGCCAGTGCACTTGCCTGATTCTTGAAAAGTACCCAATTCATGCTTGCAGAGGAAGCCATATAAGGTTTTGGCTAGAGGTGACTGATCGTGAGTGTGTGTGTGTGTACTGCACGATCAATACACACATGTATGGATAAATGCATAGAGGAGAAATGGTTGGAGAATGGAAGGGGAATAGATGGATGGATGATCAGACAGATGGATGGATGGATGATCAGACAGATGGGTGGATGATCAGATGTATGGATGGATGATCAGACTGATGCATGGATGGATGGATGGATGGTTGGATGGATGGCTAAGTCAATAGAAACACGGATGAATGTATGTAGAATGTTGGAATGGATAAGCCATATAAGATATATAGAGTTTATTCTTATAGATGGTTACAGATTGGATGGAAATAGATGTATAGAATTAGATAGATAGATAGATAGATAGATAGATAGATAGATAGATAGATGATTGATAGAATGAATACAATGAATGGACAGATGGTAGGTGGATGGGTGGATGGATGATAGGATGATAGATGGGTCAATAAGGATAGATAGATGGTGTCTGGTTGGATGATAGTGGATAAATGCATAGTTAGGCATCTGAACTAGGGCAGAGGGGATAGAAGAAGGAATGGACAAGGGCAAGAAGCAGTGCTAGAGTACACCCAGGGCCTGGCATCTGTGCTGTGCATGGCAGAGTGGGAGGAATTCATAGTGGTTCCAGGCACTGGCCACTGCCCAGGAAAGAAGACAAGAGAAGAAACATATTTAGGGTGGTGGTGGACTATCTGCCATGAGCAGGCTGAGCTAGGGGAGGGTGAAGGGTAGAAATGTTCAGTGTGGGCAGCCTCACGGAGGGGGCCCCACAGGAAGACATTTCTGCTTACAGCAGCTGTGAATGGTTGATGAGGTCTGGGAATAACACACAGTGAGAGAGAGGAGCCTAGAGCAGAGGTCTAGGGAGGCTGACCTTTGAGAAGTAGACAAGGGAAGAAGAGACCAGGGACTACAGAGACATGAAGAGGTGGGGCATGGGCCACAGAATGAGGACCTTGCTAGGGGAAAGTGCCTCTGAGGCAGGGGGTCCCAAAGGAGAGCAGATGGCTTGCTGCTGTGCCTTTAGGGGTGTTAATGTTTTTAAAAATTCTAAGCTTAAAAGTTTGTTCAGAGCCTGTGCAAAGCTGGAGTCTTAGCCTTGGTACCAGTAGCACCAAAATCAGAAGGATTTTGTTGTTGTTGAGGAAAGGGGCGTTGCAGGCTTGGTAGCATTTCCTAAGCTGTCCCTTAGATGACCATAACCATTTCCTAAGTTGTGACCATCAGAAACACCTCCAGACATTAACACATGTGGCTAGGGAATAAAGTCACCCACATGGAGAGATGATGTGGCAGGGAAGGCTTGGTCTCTGGCAGCTCAGGACAGCATGGCAGCTCCTCCCAAACCTCCCTCCAGAGTATCTGAACAAGAGTCAGTGGGTGGTGGAGGGGAGGCAGAGGCTGCCTGCTCATTGTGTGTGACCCAGTGACCCAGTTCTTACCGTCCCATGCAGAGCCCCTGCAGCGGTGTGAAGGAGATCCAGAAAGCAAAGCCCTTTGATCCTCTCATCCTCCCAGGCAAATCCCTCCCTCCTGGCTTGCTCCATGCTCCCAACCAGCTCATTCCAGACTGCCTGCCGCCTCTGTCCTTGGATGCCTCCATTACTCTCTCCCTTCTGCCTGTTGAAGGCTTCCCTATCTCAAATCCATTCATCAGCAGTGCTTGTTGCACGCCTGGAAGCTCTGGGGACTGCATGAAGAACTCTGTTACCCTAAGGAGATTCCTCGTTTGCTTGATGTGTTTTTTCCACTCTTCTTCTCCCTATTCCTTGATTGCCTTGTCTGTCCTTGCTCTTGTTCTCTCCCCTTCCATCCCCCCTGCCTCCTCCCCGCCTGCCTCCTTTTCTCCCATTTCCTGTTCCTGGGGGATCTCTGTGTGTCGACCCCATCTTTCTGCAGGCTGTTCCGTCTTGCCTGCCATCTGCCTGTCTCCCTCCACAGCTCACCCATCTCTCCTGCTCACCTCTGGCTAAGCAAGTACCCGTCAGATAGATGCCAAGGATCTGTATGTTCACAGGATAGTCAAGAGCAAATAATCCAATGGGATTATAGTCGAGTAACTATACCAGCTGGCTTGTACTAGGACTCACTAAACCAGGGAGTCCCAGTAAATACACAAACACGGACATAATACTGTAATGTCAAAATAAACAATACTAAATAAACATAAAAGTCAATCTCACTTCAGTGAAAATAAGAATACAAAAGGCAGCAGGAGAATGAGGCAGCAGTTGGTCACAGAGCATCCAGTCTGGAAGCAAACCATGATGAATGCTGTGCTCAGCTCACTGTCTTCTTTTTACTCGCTCAGGAACCCCAGTCCATGCCCATAGTTAAGGTGGAACTTTACTCCACCTTAACTTGTGGAGCTTGTGGAGGCTTCAGATTCATGAGTATTCTGGTGACCCTCTACAGCAGCTTCAGGCACAGTGTAGTAATAGCATGGGAACTACATAGCCTATGCCAGCCCAGTCTATGTCCATAGTTGAGGTAGGTTTCTTACTTTAGTTAACCCAATATAGAAAATCCTCGCCAGACATGCCCACAAGTCTAGTTCCTGTCAGGTTGACAGTCAATATTAACTATCACAGAAAAGAATTTGCCCTGGGGACCATCTTGCTCTAAAGATGAGGTTTCCTTCCATGATTTAATACTTCATCTCTTGGTCAGAAAAAAAAATGTTAAGTGCAAGAATGTAGTCTCCCCTGCCCGGGTGCCCCTACCAATTAGAAGGTATTTTGTCTTCCTCTTTACAGGGAGGTACAGCCCAATTCTGTCTGTCTGTCTCTGTGTCCTCATCTCTATCTGTTTGCCTCTTTCTGAGTCTCATGAAGCCTAAACATTTGGGGCATGGTGATGGTGAGGACGGGAGGAGCTTGTGGAGGCTGCAGACTCATGGGTGTTCTGGTGTCCCTCCACAGCAGCTTCAGGCACAGTGGAGCAATGGCACGGGAACTGCATAGCCTACACCAGCCCCTGGAGTCCTTGCTCAACCACCTGTGGTCTAGGAATCTCAACTCGGATCTCTAACGTCAATGCCCGGTGCTGGCCAGAGCAGGAAAGTCGCCTCTGCAATCTCCGGCCGTGTGAAGTGGACATCCATCTATACATCAAGGTAAGGCCAGAGCAAAGGTGGGCATCTCAGGCAGGTCTAGGCATGATGAGCATGTATAGCATAGAGTTGGCTTTGTGCATGGCCACTAAACTTCATAAGATGGAAATAATGAAGGCAGTCTAGCAGGCCCAGGGTAAGTGATTTAGGAAGATGCGGCTGCTAGGCTGGTCCATGATGGATTTCACTGAATGGATGCTTTTGTAGTTCTCATCTGGTCAAAAGCAAGGTCACTCCAAACAGAAATCGGGAACCTTCTCAAGTGTTCTTTCTGTAGTGATTCTGAGGGACTGTACTACCTTTCATCCCCATGGCATTCCACATCCACCTGCACAGGCACAGGATAGCTACCTGGACAATGTGAAGACTGTTAGAACTTGAAACACATAGGGTCAAAGGCTTCTCTCCTGTTTGTGTTTGCTGCTATAGCCAGGGCTGGCCCAGACCTTAGTGCTGGTTCACCCAATGTCACATCTAACAAAGCAAACTACACAGGGCTCATCACTGGATCTGTTAGTGGAGCAGGAAAATTTCTTTGGATGCCGAGAAAAGGATGCAGTAGAGAAGAGAATCCCACTTCTCACCATATCCTTTAGGCATGTCTCCTTATCGAGATAGCATCTTATCTTTTATAGGCACACATTTTTCTTCTTTCTTTTCTTTTCTCCTTCTGTTGTGCCAACCCTGGGTGCTTGAGTGTCTTCTAATAGGAAGTAGGAGTGTTTGAGGGCCCAGCATAGAGAAACATAAGAACTAGGACCCTAATCTGGGATAAGAAAAACTGTCACAAGGCTGGGCTAGTCACTGTAGGCTTGTGATTCCCTCGCCTGTCTCCATGATCATCTACCCTAGCTGGCTTCCCCAACTGGACTAGCTACACGCCCCACCCATATTGAATGTGCTCTGCCCCCAGCTCTGATAAGTTGCTGATAATATACTCTAAGAAATACTAACCCAAGGCATTTAGTAAGCGCCTAAATGTATACCAGCTTCGCAATTACATTAGTGAGATATGGAAAGAGGCTTAAGTATCAAGGCGCCCACAGCCTCATGGGAGACTATTATTGGATTAAAGTAGTGTCAGTGCTATTCAAAATGTTGCATGGTGGTATTGTGTGTTTGTGTGTGTGTGTGTGTGTGTGTGTGTGTGTGTGTGTGTGAGGGGGGAAGGGGGGAGGGAGAGGGAGTGGGGGTAGCATTGGAGTAGAGGAGATAGGTGAGTGCAAAGCACGTCCCTAGCTGATTGTGGAGTTCCATGCCAGCTCAGTCACTCACTGTTTGGGAAGATTGGTTTGCTAAAAGAGATAACAATTCTTCCTGTGCTGATGACACTGGCATACGGGCACCAAAAAGGCAAAAATGCAGGAAAAGGGAGATTGCAGACTGTGAGATCCGAGCGCAGCCTGGTAACCTCCTTCTGCAGTCTTCAGTTTACCTATGCCATGGGGTTAGGACTTGTGTTTGCCGACAGCCTCCCTTGCTCGAAGGTGCTGCGAATCTGGAGCAAAGGTGATGTTTGCCGCACGTGCTGACGGGAAGGAGAGTACTGGATGCTTGGTGGGAACGAAGTGGCTGTGCATCACCAGAGTATAATTAACAGAAGGTCCCTTTCCTTTCCTGAAGGCTGGGAAGAAGTGTCTGGCTGTGTACCAGCCAGAGGAGCCCATGAACTTCACTCTCGCGGGTTGTGTTAGCACCCGTGCCTACCGACCCAAGTACTGTGGAGTCTGCACTGACAACAGGTGCTGTATCCCCTACAAGTCCAAGACCATCAGTGTCACATTCCAGTGTCCAGAGGGGCCGAGTTTCTCACGTCAGGTCCTATGGATCAATGCTTGCTTCTGCAACCTGAGCTGCAGGAATCCAAATGATATCTTTGCGGACTTGGACTCTTACCCTGACTTCTCAGAGATTGCCAATTAGGTGGGTGTGTGGCTCGGGGTAAAAGCCCTGTGTTTACAAAGCATCCAGTCTCTTTGACCCAGGACTTCACAAGTGAGTCTTATTCCATCTACTTCCTACTCAATTCTAAATTCCCTGAACCTGACCATTTGCCTGTGTTCCTATTTTGACAATCCCATTGGCCCAGAAGAGCATTGCTCAGACTCAGACAATGCGTCCTTCCTTGGGGATAGTCTATATCACTCCAAAGGAAACACATCTCTGACTGTTCAACATGAATCCCAAGCCTGACCCAGCCTGTCCGGTTCCAACCTGGTCAAGTTGTCAGAAATCATGATGGGGCCACCCAAGGAACAGAGTCAGCTGAAGAACCAACATCAAAGACTCCTTCTTCAGATGCCAAACCTGATGATGTTGGGATCCTTTCAGATAGATGGATGGGACTGGAGGCACAGGAATAAGCTATGATTTGGGCCTTGCCAAATGATACAATCAAGGGCATTTCTGCCCACAACACACCAAAGAACTTTGTACCACCAAGTCACCAAACATGTTCCAGGTGATGTCAAGGGTTGTGTCCTTTTTCTTTGCAATAGAAAGTCATTTCCACTAATCTGGGCATAACTGAAAATACATTTCACTTCCCCTGTAGTGTGAAGAGCTCAAATTGGGCTCATGCTAACCAGAATGTAATTTGAGAAATTTCATTTTGCCCATCCTATAGAGATGGGGCAAGGACAGCCAGTCTCACAGACCATAGCTGATCAGGTCATTAAATCTGCAGCTGACCAAGTTCTTAGGGCAATTAGCCAACTCTTTCCAACATCTGGGCCTCCCTTGCCCTGGGGCTCCTGGGAGTTAGTAGGGATCTTGGGGTGACCTGTCGGATGTCTCAACAGCACCCTAAAACAGTGGGATAGTTGGGAAGATGCCCTCATTGGGCTTGGAAGATTCTTTTGAAGTTCAGATCAGACCTAGCAGGATGTATGTATCAAACAAATAAGTAGGTCACCCTTCACTGGTCTGGGTGGCTTCTGGCAGGAGTGATGAGGCCACAACAGTCCCTGGCCCATGATACATCTCTTCTGCTTTAGTGAGCTACTTCATAGTTTTAGTGGCTCAGTTTTATAGCCTTAGACAGAAGTTGACCAGCTGTTTAGAAATGGAAGTCTATTTAACGGAGGTAAAAGCCAAAGAATTTGTAATTTGAAGAAAGAGATTTCTCCTATGTGATAATAATGTTACTGTTTATTTTAGCAGCAGTGTGAGATTTTCTGTCGTCATTGGTTTACTGGGTTTGTTGTATGCGCTACGCTTTGTCTATGAGATTTGCCACATCCTTGCTCAGTGAAGCTTTGTGATAACATTGAGGTGTTCCCTTCATAAGTTCTGCTCTTGAAACTGTGAAATGGAAGGCCAAAGAAGAAAGTCAACCAAAATCACCCATCTGGAGATTCACATCCCAGATAGATTAACTTCCTAATTCATATTTCCTCTTTGCTTCAGAACCTTCCAAACAAGTCAGGATAGGAAAGGCAACTGAAATCAGCAGCTTGTCCTTCTCAGTTTGGCCCTTAATATTGTCTCTCTAGCTCCTCTCCCACAAGAGGGGAGTGTTTAAGTATTAAGCATTCAAACTAAATGAGACAGGAAAAGGCATGCATGTCTCCCATGGATCCTCCTGCCTTGAAATCAGAACCAGCTCACAATATGCATTTGTAAGATGGTTCTGTTTGCCCAGCACCATATGTGCAGTGGTGGGAAGATGCCTGTGGGAGAACTATACACAACACACAAATGAATTCTTAAATAGGAAAGGGAACTTGCGATTTCCCCTCCTTCTGGTAACCTCCCAAAGACCTGGCCTTGTGCAAGGCAAACAGTGGTGCTCAAGATGTATTTAAGGAAAAAATACATTATATTTACACTCCTACTTTTCCTTAGAAACACTCTTCTTCCAAGAACTCATCTTACCAGTGAAAATCCTCTATTAAAGGCGGCTTATAATACATGTATGTTCATATGTGTACAAGAGCTTGCATGTAAAGATATGCTACCCCTGGGGATTATCACTTATGTGAGTTCTTTGTGGATCATGTTAGATTTTTTTAGCTTGGAAAAAATCTGTCTTAATATCTAATTCTAAAAGAGCTTCCATAAAAGCTGTAAGTTGGGGTCTTACCAGGTATCCTTCCTATTTGGGGGAATTGAGCCTAACATCTTTGATCAAAGGGGGCTCAGTTAGAGGAGTTGGGGTGATCTTGGGACTAGAAAGGAGGGATGGCCAAAGTAGCTCAGCAATGATTGGTTTTGAGAAATGAACCTGGCCTATATGAGGATCAGAAGAACTGTCTTAGAACCAAGAACTAAAGTCCCAAGGAAGAAGACATGGGTGCAATATTAAGACATTCTTTTTAATGGTTAAAAACAGCCTATAATGGTGTGGCCTGGTTCAAGGAAAGTTAAGAATAGCAAATACGGTTTTAAAAAAAAAGTCCATTTATTGATAGCTTATTTGGTGCTAAGCACTGCGGTGCCTTTTATCAGGTTATCAATTAGAGCTGTGCTCAGAACACATCCTTTCTCCATTTGATAAACAAAAGCTCTGGAACTCAAAGTGACTGGGGAGCTGAGGCCCAGATCCATACTTACTCCACCCCACTGTAGGAGGAGATCTAGACAGAACCTAAGAGACTGATACTGGAGGCTCATATAAGCAAGGCCTTTGATCCACACCCTCCCCCACAATGCTTAGAGGCAAAGAAAAGAGCAATGAGAAGGCGCTAACCATCTGTGAAGAAATTCACTGTGGCACCCTGAGTGAATTTCTTGAGTGTGCTGAGAGAGAGAGAGAAGTGTGGAACATGCATCAACCAAGACCACTACTCCATACTTTACTGACATAGCCCACTTAATCCTTTCAGTGAGCCCAGGAGTTATGGCATTACCCTGCCCATTTTAGGATTGAGACGGGAAGATCTTTAGAAGTTAAGTAATTTGCTCAAGTTCTTATCAACCAGACAAGCTCCGAAGCCCAAGATCATGTGACACCCATGCCATCTCCCATGATACTCACACTCAGACTACTTACCTGTCCTCCAACCAAAGGCTCCAGAGTCACAAGAGGGAATTCACAGACCCCAGTGCTGAAATTCTAATTTTGAGGTGATTAGAGATTGATCAAAAAAAGTAATTTCAAATGATCTGATTGTCTGTAATCACACTAATTGATTTTGGATGCTGTACACATGGAGATTGTGGAGAACATCGCAACCTCTGACTATGGTGTTGACTCATGTCATTTCTTTTTAAAGACTTGTGTTTGGCTGGGTGTTGGTGGTGCATGCCTTTAATCCAAGCACTTGGGAGGCAAAGATAGGCAGATCTCTGTGAGTCTGAGGTCAGCCTGGTCTACAGAGTGAGTTCCAGGGCAGGCTCTAACACTATAGAGAAACCCTGTCTCTAAAAACCAAATAAATAAAATAAAAAAAGACTTGTTTTTTGATTCAAAGGAACTGCAGTGACAGCTCTGAATGGCTGGGAAGCAGGAATGGCCATGATTAGTCGTGTGTCCCTGCATAGCTGTACACGTGTGTGTGTGTGTGTGTGTGTGTGTGTGTTTGTGTGTGTGTTTGAATATATGTACCTATTTTCAAACTGTGATTGAGTATTTAAATATTCCTACTGCCATGTTGTAAGTGAATACCCATGAAGAAATGTCTTTAAAGTGCCCAGTAGAGGAAAACTAGCCCTTGGGCAACCTGTCATGTTTACCACATTCCTCTTTTTTCTCATGATTTGTGGAGCAGGGAATGTGTTTGTTCACCCGTGACGGGTTTGCATTGTGCAAATTCTTTGTTTACAGCTTTTCTCCTTAAAGCAATAAATCATCAGCAAAAGTGACTTCTTTGATTTGATGGTTCTTTTTTTGTTTGCTTTGTCATTTTTTTTTCCTTGTGGATTCCATTGTTAGAAGGCAATGATTGAGGGCTGGGCATGTTCAACCAATGTGCAGACTGGAGGAATTAAGTCCCAGATATTGGATAGGAGGAAATAAAAAATGCTTGAATGCTTAGAGACAAGTCTCAAAATGTAGATCCTGAAACTCTGAGACTGCCAGTGTTACAAGACACTGTTCCTGAAGAGACCTGAACAAACATCCACTCACCCTAGACAGGGAGCCCACAAGATAGCATCAAAGGAATAGCATCAACGTCTGATTTGGTGAGCCAATGTGCTTTATTGGAGTTGAGTACAGGAGTGTAGATGAGAAGTTATTCACGGAGCGCATATAACTCAAAGGCCACTGCATCACAGAAAGAGCACCCAGCAGGGAAGCTGGGATTTCCCAGCTCACTGTATGACTTGAAGACTCAGCAAGTCAGAGGATCTCTGTCTCTCTGGGGCTGCTCAGCTGATCTGTCTTTGTAAGCAGCCCTGCTGATCTGTCTGTTTTAGGCAGGTTCAATTGGCCTTTGTTTCCTTAGTAATTCTTACTATTTTCATAGCCTTGAGGGTGGGGGCTTGTGCTTCTGGTCAGTTTTAGGGACTTTTTGAGTATCCTGAGTTGTTTACTTCTTGAATTCTTGGGATTTTTTTTTTCTTGAGAACAAGTCTGTCTTTAGACTTTTTTGAGGCTAAACAAGCCTCTTTTATAACTTCTCAGGTCTTAAGCTTCAGCTTTGGGGGAAATTGCTACACAACAATCAGAGTTGCAATGTGCCTAATCTTAAAGACAAATTGACGGAGCATTTTTAGCACCCACTCCCTTAGTGATTCTTACTCATTTGTTTAGTAGCTTGTTATAGTCTTTATGTTGGGTACCATGAGGTCAGGGTCGTGACTACTAGCACAGTACCTGGAGCATGTCAGGGGCTGGTGAAATGACCGAGTATCTATTGCGAGATGACAAGGTATCTATTGCATACTGTCCTCAGGGCCAAAAGGAGCTCAGAGAAGCATAAAGCAGGCTACAAGTTGTCACGGAAACAGTCCTGCCATTAGCACTCAGGAGGTCTTAAAAGACAGTACTCCTTGCTGGGATGCCTCAACACAGTCTCTCAAACTGGAGAATTCACAAAGTGATAGCACCTACCTCTTGGGAGCATGCACCTTTTTAAAATAGAGGGCTAGCATAAAGTAAAATGTTTAGCAAGCGAACAGAGGGACCTAAGTTGGATCCCCCAGAACCCACGTTAGAAATAAAAATCTGACCGTGGAGACAGGTGCTCAGGAAGCAGAGACAAGTGAATCCCTGAGACTCCCCGAGTAGCCAGTCCGCTTAAATCAGCAAAAGCCAAACTAACAAAAGACTGCCTGGGTTTCTGATCCTACTGCATGTACTGGCTTTGTAGGAGCCTAGGCAGTTTGGATGCTCACCTTACTAGAACTGGATGGAGGTGGGGGTTCCTTGGACTTTCCACAGAGCAGGGAACCCTGATTGCTCTTTGGGCTGAGGAGGGAGGGGGACTTGATTGGGGGAGGGGGAGGGAAATGGGAGGCGGTGGCGGGGAAGAGACAGAAATCTTTAATAAATAAATTAATTTAAAAAATCTTCTAAAAAAAATAAAAAAAAAGACTGCCTGAAAAAGCAACTGAGGAATGACAACCAAGGTTGACTACTGGCCCTGACCGCACTCACACACCTGTGCGTGTGCAAACATGTGCATCCACACAAACACTAGCTGAGTTGTGTCATGGCAAATGTGCTGGTAGTCATCTACGTCATAGGAAGACTTAACATTTTATATATATATACATATATATGTGTATATGTATATTTAAGGTAGTCATTATTTAAGGTAGTAAATATGAAACGTCATCACTATCTAGTTGCACTTTTCCATTTTAATCATGAACTGTTTAATCACCAAATGTTTGTCCTTGGCGTGTTTTTGTTTTAAGTTGTAACTTGATTTACAGAGCAACTTCTCTAAGACAGGAAGAGCATGGTGCTTTTCTCCACACAGTGGTATGTTTAGTCATATGAGCAGCTGCCGGTGGCCATGCTGGGTGAGGTGAATGACACCCAGTCCTTTTAGACAACCTCTCCCAAAGCAAGTGGTCTCACTATACAGACCAAGGGGACACTCCGTTCCAGTTTAGAACAGCCACAGCACTTATTTCCATTCACACCTCTGTACTCAAGCACAGATTTTCATTTTCTCAGAAGGACTCTGCATCTTGTCACGAAGATATGGGTATGTCCACTCTCATTGCTGCTCCGTTCACAACAGCCAGGGGATGGAAACAACCGAGAAGTCCATACACGGATGAATGGAAAGGGAAAACATGCTACATATGCACAGAAGAATTTTACTCATCCATGAAGAAAAGTGAAATACTGTGATTTGCTGGGTAATGGATGGAACTGGAAAATATAGTGACTGGGGGCTCAGACAATTGCCATGTATTCTCTCTCATATATGGGTCTAGCTTCTGAGTTTTAATATGTATATTTATGTGGGAATTGATGTGAATAGACAGATTCCAGGAAACCAGAAAGAGGCCCGTTAGAGGGGGGAAATGGCTTTAAGGGAGAGAATTTGGGAGATTAATAGGCACATGTAACATGACAGTGGAAAGCAGGATACTGGGGATGGACGAGAATAAGAAGGGTGGGGTAGGGAGATTGTAGAGAGGAGGGGTGAGAGAACAAGACACTAGGTGCATAACATCTTGCTACAAGAAAACCTACTCCTGTAAAGTAATCAAAGTATAAACAAAACTTAAAACAAATTAGAAGCTGGGGCCTGGAGTTCTGGGGATGCCTCAGGTTCAGAGGGATGAGTGGACCTTAGCTGACATTTGCTAGATATCAGCTGGTTGAAGTTGGAGAAAATGGGACCTGAGGAAATTGTAAAGACGTATATAATGATTGCAGGGCAGGGTGGTGATCCTGGAATCCTGTTCCATGGGCTAAGGCAAGACAATTGCTTAAGAGTACAGTATTGAGGCCAG